GATTCTTTGAGAAGTAATTTTCTCTCAATTAATTATGTCTCCTTTTTTGGATCTCAAAATCCTACTTTCCTAATAAAATATTTATATAATATTTTCAATTAATTATCCTTTCTAAAACTTTTGTTTCTCTTAGTATTTTAATTTTGAATTGATAAATCAATATTAAATTGGCTAAAATTTATCAATTAACAAAACAATTTTAATTCAAGATATGTAGTTAATAAGGATTGTAATCAAATCTCGTCAGTTTAGCAATATAAAATTTACTTAATTTCTTTAATTTCTAATTGTTTAATACATGGTAAAAATTAGATTATTAATATTTAAATTAATATTNTAAACTTGTTGATCTATTAAATTATATCTATCTCATTGAAATATATTTTATTGAGGCCGTTAATCAAGTAACTACATTGATAATAGCAGAAAATTCTAGAATTCAAAATGCGGCCAACTAATCGAGTTTTAAAGATTTTAGGATTGTATCTCGTTTTATTAAATAGTTAGTTAGAAATATCTCAATTTATCATTACTACCACTTAAATAACATATATTGAATAATCTCGAATCTTCAAGTATAAGTTTTAACTTAAGACAAATGTTACAAACAAATAAATATGATCTAAAAATATTTGTGTATTATTTAAGTCAAATGACTGTAAATATAAAAATATTTTTAAATTTCAGTGCAAATTAAGATTTATTTTATATTTAAGTAAAATTAGTTAATCAAAATAATTTTTATTTATTAAATTTCTAGATGTTTTTTCTTTTTGCGTTAATATGATGAAGGTTGGTTATATAGGATAATATGATATAAATGTTGGTGAATTAATTTTAGTTTAAATTAAATAATGGGATGATTCACATTACATCCTAATGATGATTTAAGAATTGTATGCCAAGAAGATAATTTAAATGATAATATCTTTTGGTATGTTACTAAGTATTAGTTAATATCTGAGGTTAATTATTGGTCGACTTTAAATATCTTATATATTGTATCAAAATGAAATGAGGTCTATAATAGATGTAATGATAATAACGGTTAAATACATTCATTATAAGTATACAAATTAAATTTTATTAAGAAATCATAATCAATTTGCCTCATAAATTATTTAATTATTAATAAATTCCATTTTTAAATTATTCATTTATTTTATTATATTAGAAATTAATTCATATTGAATTCATGATATGATTTTGAATATTAAGATGAAAGCTTTGTTTTAGTTTTCTAAGACACAACTTCCTTCATTATATCTAAGAATAAAATTAATTAATGAAAAAATTAAATATTAATAATAAATGTATAAAAATTCTAGTAAATAATAAAAATAACTCTACTATTTATTGCGATGAAAAAATTCGATAATTTAAAAAAAACTGGATCTGATTGTTTTTTTAACAAAATAATTTAATAGATTTATTAAATATTTGAGGGTAATAACTATTGTAATATGAAAAGTTAACTATTGCATAACAGTAATATGAATAATCTGATATATATGTTAACTTCTTGAAATAGATTTTTCAAATAACAATTAATAATAGATAGAAAATCCAATATAATACATGACTTTACATTCAAAATATCAATTTGATCCTAAATAATGGAGATTACTTTTGTGAATCGTTGAAATTTAAAATTTAATTAATAATAATTGCCAACTTTAATAATATTTAAAAAAATTGATAGAGCAAGATTTCTGTCTTCGTTTTAATTTTTTAAAGAATTTACATATCTGATTCTTTGAGAAGTAATTTTCTCTCAATTAATTATGTCTCCTTTTTTGGATCTCAAAATCCTACTTTCCTAATAAAATATTTATATAATATTTTCAATTAATTATCCTTTCTAAAACTTTTGTTTCTCTTAGTATTTTAATTTTGAATTGATAAATCAATATTAAATTGGCTAAAATTTATCAATTAACAAAACAATTTTAATTCAAGATATGTAGTTAATAAGGATTGTAATCAAATCTCGTCAGTTTAGCAATATAAAATTTACTTAATTTCTTTAATTTCTAATTGTTTAATACATGGTAAAAATTAGATTATTAATATTTAAATTAATATTTCCATATTTTTCAGAAGTAAAGTTTTTGGATCCTTTTTGGGGATGGGTAACTTAATGTATACTAAAATTTCTTTAGATCCAATTTAAGAAAGCTTTACAAGTAGATCCAATAAATTGCCTATTATAATAAAGATGTATTCTTAATCGAATTCTGTAATTAATATTATAAAATTAGTATGTCTATTTACAATTTAGTAGTGGAGGCGAAATATTCATTCAAAAATAAATAGGCATTGAGCTATAAAGGTTAATTATAGATTTTAATCATAGATTTAAAATTTATTAAAAATTAAAAAGATGACAAGAATCACGTTAAACAGAGGTGTTAGATATTTTAGTTATCTAAAACATTTTATAATGAAGGAATTCTAAAATAAGAGGCAAATTTATCAATAACCCAAAGCTTAGTCACAAATATGAAATATTCTATTTTTACAGTAAGTTAATGATCATTCGAATTTTTTAATATTTCAATAATTTTTATAAAATTAAGAATCAAAATTTTAAATCAGGTAAAACCGATTTTGACAAAAGCTTCTAAAATTTATCCTTAATATTTAGAAATTCGATCTCTTATTCTATTTAATTTCTTAATCTAAATAATCCTTTCTATTAAATAAATAAATTTTTTGAATTTTAATACCCATTCATACTATCTCTTCTAACTTTAATTTTCTCTATTCTAATTAAACTATCTTTTTTATATTCATTTGTAACTCATCCCTCATACTCATTTATTATAACAATATTTTTTATTAATTATTAGTTCCTTTACAAAAATCTATTAAAATTTATAATTGCACCATTTAAAATGACTATGCATTTGATCATAATATTAAATAATTGGAGGTTAAATTACATTTATTTTATCCAAAATTTTTGTTCATCTCGATTCCAAACGTAAAGGCTATTATTTACTAAATAAAATTAAAGAGGCATCATTGGTTTTAATATCTCTATTATTTAATAGTATTACATTATACTAATTTTATATGTTTGAAGTTAATTATAGGTATTCATTTAGGAAAGCCATCTACATCTAAAGATTAAAAAAAAATTATTCTATATTTTAATTCTAGTTAATAAATTTGTTAGTTAGCAATAAAATCCATTTAACATTGTTTCTAATAGTAATTAATTTCAGTTATTTTTTTAGTATTCAATAAATACAAAGACTATAAGAAAATGAAAATGGCTGCTGAGTAACTTGAATGTTCTTCTAAAATCAAACCCAATATAGACTAAATATAAAGATATGAAGTATCATATTAGAAATGTCAATTATGCATAATTTGTCATTATATTATAATAGATAATTAAAGGATGAAATAATTATTCATGTGAATAAGATGAGATTAATAGAAATCAAATGATCCTATACTTTCATTAAAATTAAAATAGTATAAAATACAGGGAAATGTATAAATTGACAGGAAATATATATGATATAAAGAATCATAAGATATTTTTACTATGTTTCAGAATTGAAGAATACATTAAAATGTAACAATACTTGGAAGATATTTAAAAAAATTAAATCAAGATATAGTATAAGAGGATAGCTCATAACGGCAGGTTATTCAATAACGGTAAGATATATAATTAAATAAACTATAACCCAGTAATATATATATATATAATAAGGTTAATTAATCATGTGAATTACTATAGATTATGTAGATAATGGAAATAAAATAATACAAGGATTGATTGAACTAATATCAAATCAAAAGAATGAGAAAAACATAAAGAAAAACTTAGAGCCATAAGCCGAACTTAGAAGAGGAACTAGAAAGAATTAAGAAGAACTAAAAAATGTAGGTTAAAAGAATTTACTATAAAAGAGAGAAACTAAGTAAACGAACTAATTGCTAATCTTATGTATACATAGGATAAAGTGAAAAAATATAATAGATCCAAAAAAGATTGCTTTTCAGATATTAAGTATGAATTTTCAGTACTATATTTATAAAAATTGTATTTCCATCATTGTATTATTCTATACCAGCTAGTATTTCAAAGCATTTGGTAATATATTTCCTCAAATTATATTCTATAATCCCCTATAAATTAAAGTAAAATAATTATGTATCATTACTTTCATATTAGAATTTAATTTAGCAAAAAAATTATTTAAAACAGGGGTATCATACACTTAAAAATTTTAATATTTACATTTAATACAATTATTTTAACGTTCATTACATTAATATGGGCATTGAGTATATTTATTATTTATTAAGAAATATCCTTTTTAACAATTTATTAGGATCAATTTGACAAACAGAGCATTCATCTCAAACTATAAATTATCATCATCACACTGTTCAATTTTTACATTCATCTAATTAAAAAATCTAACATAAATATTCATAATTGCTTTTTTTAATTAACTTGATATTGTTCATTCAACAATTAAGGAAGAGTATCTTGGACTTTACTTTTCTCAATTACTTTCAATTTAAGACTTCCTAAATAATTTATAATATTCATTATCGCTATCTTCAGAATAATCTTTTACATGATGAATAAAAATTAACAATTAAACATTATTATCATGCTTAAATCTTTTTTAAAAATTATTAGTTCTATTGAAGAATTCCATTCATATCAAATTTATGAAATATTTATAAAGCTTTATAAAAATTATTTATTTGTTTAATATGATACAAAATTTATCTTATGCTTTATGAATTCAAATTAGATAGATGAATTTAGAATGAATAATTTTTTTATGTTATTAATTACAATATATTCAAATAATTTAAATCAACCCCTTTTAATTAATCGTAAAAATTAAATCATTGTTATTTAATTCAATATTTAAGCAAGTGCTTCAGAAAAAATCCTTAGTTAGGCCTAAAGAATATATTTTAGGAATATTTATTAAAGCTTTAACAATAAATCCTATAAAATGCTTATTTAAACAAAGGTGAATTCCTTTTTAAGCTCTGGTAATAAATTTTCTAAATTAAGAATTCCTCATTAGGATATTAGAGGGAAGGCAATAATATAAAATTTATTTTAAAATGCATATTATAATAAGGGTATGCAATATTGAATTAATCTAGGTTTTATTTGAATTTAAAATTAGAAAGGCCTAAAATCAAAATGAAGAAGAGATGTTAAAAATTTTAGCTATTTTTAAATTGATTATTGTTTTTAAAATCAATTTTGATTAAGGGCAGCTTTTTTGTACCCTCAATTATATTCAATATTGGTTTTATCACTAATTTCAATTTTTGATATCTAAACTTTTTATCACCTTTCACTTGATAATATGAAGATTATAATTATATATTCTATATATTTAATTCATTTGAGTAATTAAAAAGCTTTAAATTTAATTCTGATATTTTTACTAATTTACAGGTGATATTTTTAATATATTCATTTACAAGATAATATATCTACAATTCCCTTAAATTATGTATTAAATTTCCAACCTTCTAATCAAGATTTATCTACAAATATATTATTTTTATCATTTTATTAATAATAAAAATTATTTTCTTTAACTTTTAATTTATAATCTCTAATAATAAACCTTAAAATCAATATACTTAACTAATTTAGATGATCAATCTAAAATCGTCTGATCTTTAATTTTTTTTTTTTCGAAATCTAAATTTTTCGTTAAATTATAGAAAAACATAAACTAAATCATATTTTATACAAAGAATAAGTAAATAAAATTTTGGTTTTAACAACCAAAAGTAATTCATTTTAAATGGAATTGTTTTTAGATAATCAGAAAATCTGTAGATTTAATTTATTAAAAAGTTTTGGTAAGTTTAGCATATTTTTGGATTTTGATTGAGTTTCATTACTAACGAAATATTGGCATTATAATTCTTAATCATTAAATCAAAGACTCGTCAACTCTTATTTAACTTCAAAGAAATTGCGTCAAAGGAGTAATAAAATGATATCATATATATTTCCCTTAAAATTATATTCCATCATGATAAACACTGCTTTAAAAAAATGAATAAGTTGTGAATTTGGGATGATTTATATATCAACAAAAATAATTTAGATTTATAACTTAGAATATATTATTGATTTTAATTAAGAAATTAAGGATATTTTAAATTTATGTTATGTTTTTGGAGTGTGATGATGGTTTTGATAATTTTGGATTTCAAATTAGTTTTTTATTTGAAATAAATTATATCAACCCAAGTTGGATATTTCACGTCAAAAAAATTACTAAAATGAAAAGCTATTACAAAATAAGAGTAAAAATTTAATTGAATTTTTAAATTATAGATAACAATATAAATAAATGAAATCAACTTAGAAATTAAGAAATATCATTAAAATGGATGAATATAAATTAAGATAAATTCTACAAAATGGATCGATTATTGTGCAGCCGAACAGAAAATTTTGCTTTATTTATATTGATTTAAATATATCATTTCTGATAGATTGTTTATTTATTTATAATTTGTACATTGAGCTTATTTATTTTACAAATGCTGCTATATTTTTAATAAATTACATAATGATATACTTTATTAATTTTAGTTAAATAATGGAAATAATTATAGTAGCATAATGAACTGATGATTTATTAATAATAATTTATGAAGTATTTCGACTGTTATTAATTTTATTTTATTAAATAATATTTTATCAAAATGGAAATTTTCATTAGCAAAAAAATAGCAATTCAGTACTTGCTAAAGAGCTTGCATCAGAGATAGAATATTTACAATAAAACTTAGTCTACAGTAAATTTAATTAAGCTATTTAAATGCAAATAAATACAATTGCTGATCAGATTATTCTTTATTTAAAACACTAATAATATTTATGATCACTCTCTTTAAGAAATGTATAATATTAATTCCTAATAAATCAAAAAAATAATTATCTATTTTTCAGCTATTAAATTGTCTTCTAATAGGAAAAGTCTTTAATCAGATCCTTATTTTAAAAAAGAAGTGGAAAGATGAATTAAATTAGACAATAATACTGTTTTTGATAATAAAAGTGATATGATTGTTGAAAAAGAATTCAAGCATGAATGTACTTATAAATTTTAACTAATATCTAATAGATTTATGGTAAGAAATAGACTTTATATTAAAAGATTAATAAATAACAGTCTATATTTCAATAGAATAAGTATAAAATTATTTACAACTTCATTTTANAAATTTTTTTTTTTAGAAATCTAAATTTTTCGCTAAATTATAGAAAAACATAAACTAAATCATATTTTATACAAAGAATTAGTAAATAAAATTTTGGTTTTAACATCCAAAAGTAATTCATTTTAAAATGGAATGTTTTCAGATAATCAGAAAACCTGTAGATTTAATTTATTAAAAATTTCTGGTAAGTTTAGCATATTTTTGGATTTTGATTGAGTTTCATTACTAACGAAATATTGGCATTATAATTCTTAATCATTAAATCAAAGACTTGTCAACTCTTATTTTAAATTAATAAAATTATTTTATTTAAATTCAAAGAAATTGAGTCAAAGGAGTAATAAAATGATATCTTATATATTTCCCTTAAAATTATATTCCATCATGATAATCACTGCTTAAAAAAATGAATAAGTTGTGAATTTGGTAAGATTTATATATATCAACAAAAATAATTTAGAATTATAACTTAGAATATATAATTGATTTTAATTAAGAAATTAAGGATATTTTAAATTTAAGTTATGTTTTTGGAATGTGATGATGATTTTGGATTTCAAATTAGTTTTTTATTTGAAATAAATTATATCGACCCAAGTTGGATATTTTGGGTCGAAAAAATTACTAAAATGAAAAGCTATTACAAAATAAGAGTAAAAATTTAATTGAATTTTTAAATTTTAGATAACAATATAAATAAATGAAATCAACCTAGAAATTAAGAAATATCATTAAAATGGATGAATATAAATTAAGATAAATTCTACAAATTAGATCGATTATTGTGCAGTCGAACAGAAAATTTTGCTTTATTAATATTGATTTAAATAAATCATTTCTGATAGATTGTTTATTTATTTATATTTTGTACATTGAGCTTATTTATTTTACAAATGCTGCTATATTTTTAATAATTCCCATAATGATATCCTTTATTAATTTTAGTTAAATAATGGAAATAATTATAGTAGCATAATGAATTGATGATTTATAAATAATAATATATGAAGTATTTCGACTGTTATTAATTTTATTTTATTAAATAATATTTTATCAAAATGGAAATTTTCATTAGCAAAAAAATAGCAATTCAGTACTTGCTAAAGAGCTTGCATCAGAGATAGAATATTTACAATAAAACTTACTCTACAGTAAAATTAATTAAGCTGTTTAAATGCAAATAAATACAATTGCTGATCAGATTATTCTTTATTTAAAACACTAATAATATTTATGATCACTCTCTTTAAGAAATGTATAATATTAATTCCTAATAAATCAAAAAAATAATTATCTATTTTTAAGCTATTAAATTGTCTTCTAATAGGAAAAGTCTTTAATCAGATCCTTATTTTAAAAAAGAAGTGAAAAGATGAATTAAATTAGACAATAATACTGTTTTTGATAATAAAAGTGATATGATTATTGAAAAAGAATTCAAGCCTGAATGTACTTATAAATTTTTACTAATATCTAATAGATTTATGGTAAGAAATAGACTTTATATTAAAAGATTAATAAATAACAGTCCATATTTCAATAGAATAAGTATAAAATTATTTACAACTTCATTTTAAATAACAGATAAATTTCTTATCAAATCTTTAAGATCTCTTCAAAGTTAGGGGATAATTTTTCTTCACTGAAGGTAAAATTAGAACTTATAAAATTGATTAAGAGAATTAGTTTTTCTAATTCTTATAAAAGTGCTATTCGATCTCTAATATTATTGGAGTCTTTTAAATTAAGTTTAAACTAATAAGATTAAAAAAGAGTTTAAACTAAAGGATTCTGTGACTACTTCTCCATAACAGAAAAAAATTTTAATATAATTCAAAATTTTTTGAATCTAAATATAAATAAAAATGATAGATTTATTGTTGAAAATTATCACCTTTTTGAAGATATATAAAATTAACAAATAAATAGACCATTAAATTAGTTAAAATCCATTTAAACAATAAAATCTCGATGTCAAGAATTTATTATACATTGATGAGAGATTTTTTATTTTACAAGAATAAACAATAATTAGCAGATTTATAATTTTGATAAAACTTAATGAATTACAAGATTTATCAGGTAACGTAGAGTAAAAATGTACAAATTGTGCAAACTTATGAAGGCAAGGAGTACTAAAAAAATTTTTTATATGAAAGATACGATCTGAAAAATAATCATCATTCTTTAGGGGATAAGATAACAGTTACAATATTTAATTTTTTAAATGGGTAGGATGAATACGATAATGATTAGAAAATAAGTTATATTAGATAATTTCGTAATAAACCATCATAAATAATGAAGATCTTACAAGAGAGAGCCAAAATTCTATATTAATAGTTTCCTTTTAATCAAGGTTTCAAAGGAAATAAATTGAATGTTTATAGGTGAATCAAATGTTAAGTTTATCGAAAGCTTTATTTATTAATCAAACTCTTGGGCACATTTTTGTTAGTTTATGAAATTCCAAAAGAAAATTCATTAGGAATTAGGCCTATACAGTAATATTAATGTAAGAGAATTTATTCAGATTTTATGCTTAACATTATAATGTGATCCCATATAAATACTTAATAATTATTAAAATCTCCGTTTTTAAGTAGAAATCCAAAATTGTTTTAATTATTTTTTTACAACTAAACAAAGAGATAGTTATTATCTCTAATACTTAATGCCTTAATTTCGAAAATATAAGGATTCTAAAATTAGAAAGATTTTGTGATGTTTTGTAATTTGCCTTTTAAAATTCTGAGAAATCAACTATTAAATAGTATCTATTATATATATTCATCTTATAAAATTTAATTATAGGTACAGTAATCTTATTAAGGAGCTTAGAGTGTGAATATATATAATAACATAATTCTATCATTAGAATTAAGACCAATATTGTAGGATAGTTGATCTGGTATTACACTTATCGAAATATTTCTAATGATTTAACTTTATTGATAATAGTGATAACCTTTTATAATTCACAAATGTGTGAAAAATATCACAGAAGATAGTATTTGATTTTAAAGATCTCTAGATTTCGAAAATTATATTCAAATAAATAGAAATAAATAAAAAAGTGAAAAAATTAATGATATCCAAATTAAAATAGAATATATTAAATATCTTAAGGTCTCTAAAAGATCTACACCATAAAATGATAAGAAGAGGATTTAGTTCCGATAATCTCTATCAAAGTGAAGTAGTTTTATTAAAAAAAA